AACTGGGACAAATGAGGAGGCGGAAAAAGTGGTGAGAAGTCAGGAGCCTGATCATGTGCTTTAGAAAAATTGCCTCATTTAATCCTCACAACAACGACCAGAGAGGTTGGGACAATTTTTGCAGTTGAGAATATCAAAACATTGAGACTTTAAGATATTTTGCTTGTGGTTAGCTATTTAGTCAGCAGAGCAGCCAGAGTTATTAGCCCAGAGTCTGTGTTCTTAATTACTAGGTCAGTGGATCTCAATCTGCCAACTTACTCACTGGTATCACTGGGGAGTAAAAAAAAAAGAAAGCCAACAAAACCAATGCCCAGCCAAGCCAGTCTAGAATCTATAAATCAGCATCTGTAGGAAGAGTTTCCATGGATGACTACAGTTTGCAGAGAGGGATGCAAACCACAGACTGTGAGATGAGTAAGAGGCAGTCTGCAAGCTAAGCCCATGCAATTAACCACCAGGTCATTCAGCCTCTCAGTGAGTACAGGACATCACTGGAGAATACACAAGCCAGGAGCAGAGCACGGCCTGGGACCCAGGCCTGCTGATTCCCCGGTCCCCAAAAGTTCCTGAAGCTGACTCCACTCTGAGTTGTGGATGTCTTTGCAGGAAGACTTAGCATGAAGACAGGCTTCCAGTTTAAACCAGCCTGATCAGCTTTCTCAAGCAATAGGCGGGTCACTATTCATCCTCAGGACCTTGAAAATTCAGAATATAAGGCAATTCATATTAAGTAGGCATTTAAACAAACAGTGGTCATCCTACAGAATGTTCTTGTTTCTTTGTGTGTTTGCTAGAGTCAAAGTCTGATTATGTTCCTTTCTTGGTTATAAAACATGTGTATGGTAGCCAATACCTTTAGATAAAGTCTGGGTTCCATGCAAGACACACAGAGAAGAATCTTCCACATCCGTTTGCTCATTTTTTTCTCCAAACCCTCTCTTCCCCTGTAACCTCCAGCCTGTAAACTGCTTGATCTCAGGAAACCCTCCAGGCCTTTGCATGTGCTATTCCTCTGACCTTCTTCCTTTTTTACCTAGATCAGAGGTTGGTAAACTTTTTTTTTTAACATATAACGGGACAGATAGTATATCTTTTAGGCTTTGTGGCCACATCCTGTTTCTCTCCAATACTGTTCTTATTCTTTTACAGCCTTTTAAACGTACAAGCCATTCTCAGCAGGGGAGTAAGAGATTTACAAAAACCATGGCCATGGGGAGTAGTTTGCCCACCTGCATCCTCCACTCTCTTAGATTTTAACACTCAGCTGCTCCAGGATACCTTTTAACAGGTTTGGTTGCAGCCTTATCAGTTACTAAAACCTACTTTGCCAGCCCATTTTTGCCAGAAAGCAATGTTTTGGCCAAGAGCCCAGTCTATAGAATCGGACTACCAAGCTTCAATCTTGATTCTGCCACTTACTGGCAGAGTAAACTTTTGCAAGTTAATTAACCTCTTGATGCCTCTATTTCTTCATCTGTAAAATGGAAATACAAAGAGTTATTATGAAGAATAGATAAGTTAATGCATCAAAGCATTCGAAAGCCAGTGTGATTCGTAAGAAAAACCCAATAAATATTAGCTATTACTAGGATCATCCTCATTGTCACCATGAAATATACAGAAGCCACATATTAGCCCTGGTTTGTTTCTAAGTATACTTATTTTGGGTAGTAATTATCAATAGGTGTTTATCACCTTTTGAATATTCTGAAAAAGCTGGTCGCTTCAGCATCCCACCAAAACTGACTGAGATAAAGGACAGGGAATATCTGTAGTATTTAGTCTCCTACATCCATTTTCAGAAAATTTGAATATAATCTCACATTGCGGAAGGTTCCTACTTCCCGATGTGTGTTGGAAAGCTACACCAGCAGCACACAGATCCTTCCTGCTAATCCCTATACTTGCAATAAGCACAATGAGAACTTGACCTAGTCCCTTCTACCAGAAACCTGCAACTGAGTAGGAGACAGACCAGAAAGAGGGAGCAGAAATTCCAGTGAACTCAAAGACAGGTCACAAGAAATTGCTAAAATTGAAGCTCAAGAAAATCATGTGCATTTCATTGGTTTTTGATGGCATGTTCTAGAAATGTTGATGAGGTCGAGTTGGTTAACAGTATTGTTCAGGTAAGAATAATCAGTTTTGTATTCTTACTGAGTTTTGGTCTGCTTGCTCTACGGACTAGAAGAGAGTTGCAATCTCCACATGTAATTGCGGAGTTCTCTATTCTTTCAGTCGTCAGGTCTTCTTCACGTAGTTTGAAGCTCTGTTGTTTTCAGGATGCATATTTAGGACTGTCGTGTATACTTGGTGAGTCGACCCTTGGTGTAGCGTCCCTATTTACCCATGGTGATAGTCCTTGTTCTGAAGTCTACTTTACCTGATACTCACATAGTCACTCCAGCTTTCTTCTGATTGGTGGTTGCCTGGTACCTTTTTTAAAAAAAAATCTTTTTAACTTTCCACCTATCTATATCCCTGATGTAAGGATATCCAAAGTGGGGTTCCTTTAGATAGCATATACTCGGTTTTTGTTCTTTATCTGATCATATAATCTCTTTTAATTAATCTATGTAGGTCACTAGCATTTCATGTAATTTTTATCTTCATACACAGAGGTGGGAAAACCACCCAGCTGTCACGTAATTTTTAACATGGCTGGATTTAAGTCTACCATTTTATTATTTTTTTCCCCTGTTTTTCCTTCCTAATTTTCTTCTTCTATTACTTTTTCCTGCCTTCTTTTAGGTTTTTTTTTTTTTAAGTATTCAATTCATTTTAATTTATCTATTAGTTTTTGGCTATTATCACCCGAGTTGCTTTTCTTTTCCTCTAGGGTTGCAATATACATACCTAATCTTTCACAGTGTACTTACTGTTATTATGTTACCAATTCCCCCTTTATGTATTACTTATTGTATGTATTACTTATTGTATGTATTACTCTATATACAATACTCTAGTCAGGAAGTTATAATTTTTACTTTAAACAATTGCATTTTTAAGAGGAGAAAAACATTATGTTACACGTACCAAAAACCTTACTATTTCTGTTGTTCTTTCTTCACTTCTGAAGTTCCTAGTTTCCATTTGGCACCAAGCCTAAAGAATTTCCTTTGGCACTCCAGTTTTGCATAGGTAGGACATTTTTTCCCCTTCATTCCTGAAGGAAATTTTCAGTGGATACATACTTTGAGTTGACAATTCCTTTAAGAACACCAAAGATGTTGTTCCAATGTTTCCTGATCTTCATAGTTTCCAATGAGAAATCTGCAGACATATGAATCACTGTTCTACCATATATAATGTGTCATTTCCAGGGGTGGAAAGGTTGTAACATCTGCAAGTCAATCTCTTCATCTACTTAGAAGCAGCAGCCCAAAGTGCTCAGTGGCTGAAATGAAACCAAATGACTAGACTAAAAGAGACCACTGTGTACTCTAGGTATGCTCAAGAATCTTTA